CTTAGGCACATGGGGATCCAGGCTGCCCACATGCAGAGAAGCTGGCAGAGGAAGGAATTCCTTAGGAAGTCATTGAAACCTCTGTCTTTGGAAAAACAGACCCAGAGTGCTTCTGATATGGTGTCCACATCCTGTTTCTTAGTTGTAGTAGTGAAGTTGTGCCTCATGAAGCTAAAGAATTGTATTTACTCAATGAAAATATTATGCTTTTGTTAAAAAGATAGAGTCGGTTAAAACAAGCTGTTTCAAACTGGTTCAACAGTGCTGTTCTTACGTTGATGAAATTATAGATGTTCCAATGAAACTGCAACTAATTGATACTCTAGAAATGGTCACAGAAGGCAACTTGTGTTGAAATTGAATGTGTTTAACTGACTAAAAGCATTAGCAACTATAAAAGTGCAAAATGGTAACGTGAGAGAGGCAGCCTCTGTTTTACAAGGGCTTTAGGTGGAAACAAATGGGGCACTAGATAAGAAAGAGCCAGTGGAGTTTATTTTGGAGCAATGAAGGATTGCTTTGAAGCTGTGAAGGATTACATTGGTATGCAAATCATCAGCAAGAAAATTAACACGAAGTTTTTCCATGAGGAAAATACAGAGAAATTAAAGTTGAAATACCATAACTTAATGATTCAACTGGATCTACATGAGGGCTCCTATTTGCCTACTTGCGAGCACTACATATATGATCCTCTTTGCAGAGGGCAGGAAGTGAAAAGTGGCAACAGACTCTGAAAAGTGTGTCCTTTATGTCATCTTGGCTCCTTTTGACAATGAGCAGTCAGATTAGGTTTAATGAATAAATTGTGACAAGAAGTTAGAAGAAATCCCTAAATGCAAGGATCTTTTAAAGCTTTTTACCACAATGGAGTTGATGCATTGGTCCCAGTTGTTGAAGACTATGGAATGGAATTAAGGAAAGGTCCTGCTTCCCTCATCCCTCACATCCAAGAAGGGCTTCAAAAAAGAATTCTGGCCCCCGCTGGGCTGACCTTCCTGACTGCTGAGGGGAGATGGGGAAATGATTGAGGAGGACTCAGAGGAACCTAACACCCAAGGCCTGAGATCAGCAGCCATACTAGTCACTTTTCTATATGGCTGAAGTAAAAGAAATATGCTGGTTGCATCTGATACCCACCCTTCAAATGGCATCCCAGATGAGCCACCAATGCTGTTACTGGCTGAGATGCTGTTCCTTCCCATGATCATGTCTTGGAATAGACATGGCATAGAATGAAGCCAGCAGACAAGATGAGGAGTGCAGAAGAAAGGAAATCTGAAACTTTTCAGGAGGGGCTCCAAGGAGTGATGCTGCCAGGGCTGCACTGTTTAAGGTTTATAAGCTGAAATACGAAGTGAATCACGCGAGCAGCAGGAGTCACTGCGAGGGGCTGTTGTTATGGCCAAGCTGGGATCAAAGGAAAGAAAATCATTCTTGTTTCCTCGGGCTGATTTTCCCAGATATCCAGGATGAGGCATCTTTGCTGAGAATTTAGTTCTCAGAAGAGACCCTAGTTCTCTTCTGCCTGTGTCTTACCGGAACCTTGAGCTCTACCTGCCTGTGTCTGACTTAAACTTGCCATAATTACATCAGGATTCAGGTCACAAAGAAGTGGGCAGGGTTAAGGATTTTCATCAGGGGATAGAGAATGACCCAAAGGCAACAACGAAAGGCTGCAACGGGAGGCACAGGGGTTTCCAGGATCCATAGCAGCTGAAGTTGCAGGGGGATGACCACTGTGAGACCTGGGCTGCAAGTGGAGGGACTCAGCCACCTCCAGCACAGATGGTGCTGAGACAGTCAATACTCAGACCTCAGTCTGCTCTAACCTGCCGGTCATCTCCTGGGGTCTCTCAGTGGTCAAACCATCCAGAAGGCCGAGGGACAAGTAGAAGAGAAGGAGGAGCTTTCCCCTCTCAGATGGTGGGCTAAATTAGTCAAGCATTACATCACATGACAATTAACACTTTGTAGCAAAATTTAAAATCCTTTATCGTTTGAACCAATAATACCCTTCTGGGAATCTGTCCTACAGAAGTAATCATATATGTCTTGGACACACCTGTTCTAGACACTCATCTTTAAATAATGCTTATCAACTCTTAAATACGGTACTACTAAGTTCATCAATAGCCCATTTATTTAAAAATCACTGACATATCCATATTATAGATTTTGACCCAGTCTTCAAGCTCCAAATTGATAAGACACCAAAACTAGCATGCTGAGTGGAAAAAGCATGTTGTAGTCCCGTGCTTGATTTTCTTTTTTAAAAAGAAGTTTGAATTACATAATTCAGGGTTCCTAGACATAACAGCAGAGGCTTATGCTGTCTAAACTCAGCATCTAACAGGTACAAAAATAATTTGTTTACAAATAATAATCTAAGATGGGGAAGAGGCAATTACAACTATTTTAAATGCCTATTGAACCTATCTAGTTAAGTTAAATAAGTCTTATTTTTAGCAAATCCCTGGAAAATGGTTTTGTTTATTCTATTTCCTTCAAGTTTATCTTTCAAACACAGTCAAGAAAGCAGAAAAGTTATGAAAACTGTTGTTAAGCTTCTCTACCTAATCTGTGTTGTTTAATTCATAAATTTGGATAAAGAATTTCAATCACAGTCTTTAATGTGCTCTGGAGGGTATAGAAATCTGACGTCTTCTTACCATGTTATTGAATGATCAATTAGTCCAAATGGTGGTGGCATCACTGTCATAAACACATGAATAAGTAAGAAGGTTGAAAGTGTGCACTACTTCAGTGCACAGCTAGTTATTTGGCACTGTAAGCAAGAGCGATTGAGTGCCTGGAGCGCTTCTTTTTCAGTTTTTAACTCTACATATAAGAACTTTCCAGCAGCAATCATTCCTCCCTAAGAATTCTAAATATTAGATACTATATATAATTTTTCAAATATTTTTCCATCCACATAGTTCATGTAAATTTTTATTATTACAGATAATGAAAAAAAGTAAATTTTGAACACGTTGTCTAAAAACAATCATTCTAAAAGCACACTTAAGTAAACTTTTTGGTTTGAAATAGAGCAATTGAAAAACAATTTGGAAAACATTTTTGAAAAAATATAGCTCCACTCCACTTTTTGTTTTATTTGTTCTATTTTGCTCCCCATGTCCTAGGACATTTAAAGTGGAACCATCAAGTGTGTGTGTAATTATGGTCCAGCAAATTGAGGGCTGAGGTATATAATTATCAATCACTTAAAATTTACAGCATGCATATTGTATCATTCATTTTAGTATGATAAAAATATTGGAAATTTATTTTCCAACATTGTTTCCTAAAGACTGCATGAGTCTTAACTTACAGTCATGACATAATCAAGTTTGTCAAAAGGAAAAGGGAAACCATCTGATTCTTTAAAAATTGGACCCAATACATAGGAACATGGAGAGCAACCACACCTGTGGCTGTTTGTAAACAGCTCAACAAGGCCCCACACCCTCCAAATCCTGCTCCCCCCAGGCCTTCCTGGTGCTCAGGCATGTGGTCCAACCCACTCAGATCAACACTGCTCATTTCTTTACCCACACTCACCTGATCTCCTAGCCTCCAGCATTCACTTCTCCAGTTGATTTCCATCAATTTAACATTACTAAAATTCCAATCTGGTCATTTCACTACTGTTCATAAAATACTTGGTCACAGAAGGGCAAGAAATGAGAATACAAAGTGCAGTAGGAAATGAAAAGCCATGAGGACATTTATGTTTCCTGCTTGGTCAACCATCTGTCCTTCATGCTTCATATTTTCTCTAGATCTTATCTCTGAGTGAGTTCCCCATTCCCCACCCTTCTCTACTCCTCGTCTGACAGTAACATCCAGTCCCGAATCAGTATTGTTTTCCAGGCACTGCTATCATCCTCCTTGTTTGACAATACTCTTAGGTCACAGACAGAACTGAGGTGCCATTGTGACCTGTACAATTTCCATATGAGCATCTAGTGATAGCATATATTTTATAACACTTATTTACATAATATAAAACTGCAACTACAGGTTAAAATTCCATGGGTACCACAACCAAGTAGATTCAGATTCTAATTTTATTTAGCTATTATTTTGAATTTAATATAACACAAGAAATATTTATTGAATAAATTAACTTAGATAATTGATATTCCTATCTTTTTTTTCTAATAAATACATACTTTGAAATCCAGCTCAGGTGTTACCTCATGGAAGGAAACCTCCGTAAATCTCTCTTCCACTCTTAGCTTACAGTTTTCCCACAGTTCCTTATGGAATTCAAGATCCTAAACCTACCTCTTGCTGGAAAAAATTAATTGCTACTAAGTGCATTGAGGTTTGGACTGTAGGAAAGAAGGTAGCCCATATAAAGTTGGGAAGATGTCAGAACTGTCTCAGAAATCATTAGAAACATTGAAATGAACACGTTTCCTAAGAATTATTTCACACTGCACAAATATAACACAAATTCAAAAAAGAAGAGAACATATTCAAAAAGCAGGAAGAACTGATATTTTAAATATTTATGCAGAATAACTTTATATACACATAAAAGTAGCATGGGTATGCATTGTATGAAGCTCATATACTTTTGACCTAGAAACACCGAATTTTAACACTGCTTCTCATTCATGTCATCTCTTTTCCTCTTTCCAATTTAAATAAATTTCACAGCTTTGCATGACTTTCTCTTCTAAATAATTGCATTATGTGTTTTCTGAAAATATGGATGTTTTTTCTATAGATTCAGAATGCAGTTATTAACTTCAGTAAAAATAGCACAAATACAATATGCTTGTACAATATATCTTAAAGAGTTACAAAGGAGAAAGAAAGACAAGGAGAAATTTTCAAAATTGAAATTTTCTAGTAGATGGATACAATTTTTAAAAGATGTATGAAAAACAGATGAGGCATCATGCTATGAAAATCTAAAGAATAGTGTTGACATAAGATTCTAAATGTATGATATTTAGAGAAAGTAAAAGCAGTATTAAATTTTCCTACTTTATGGTTTCTTGAAAGACAGGTCCCACATTCAACATTTTCTTCAGAGGCCCCATAACATGTTTATTCCTTAGACTATAGATCAAAGGGTTTAGCACAGGAGTGAGTATGGTGTAAAAGACAGATGCCATCATGTCCTTCTCAGGGGTATGGTAGGAGCTGGGGAGCATGTAGGTGTAGACGGCAGTCCCATAGAAGAGGGTGACCACAGTCATGTGGGAGGAGCAGGTGGCAAAGGCCTTCCTTCGGCCCTCTGCCGAGTTCATCCTGTGGATGGTGAGGAGGATGAAACCATAGGAGCCTGAAATAACTGTCACAGGGATGAGCAGCATGAGGACACAGCAGAGGTACATGAGTATCTCATAGATGGAGATGTCTGCACAGGAGAGCTTCCTCACAGCAGGGACCTCACAGAAAAAATGATGGACCTCCCGGGATCCACAAAAGGGGAAGTTCATGGTGATGGGAGTGAACAAGAAGCCATCCACTGATCCCAGGAGCCAGCAGCCAGATGCCAGGAGGACACACACCCTGTGGTTCATGAGGACAGGGTAACGGAGAGGATGGCAGATGGCAGCATAGCGGTCATAGGCCATGGCGGCCAGGAGGAAAAATTCTGATCCACCTAGTGTCAAATAGAGAAACATCTGCATCCCACATGTGGGGGCTGAGATCATGTTCACACCCGTGACCCGGTCCATGAGCATCTTGGGCACAGTGACAGAAATGTACATTACGTCCATGAGAGACAACTGGCTGATGAAAAAGTACATGGGAGTATGGAGGCGGGCATCAGAGCGTATCAGAAGGATCAGGATGGTGTTTCCAGACAAGGCCATCAGGAAAACCACAAAAATGACCATGCCAAGGAGGGCTGGGTGTTTGGATTGACTGAAGATTCCAAGCAGGATGAACTCTGACCTTCCTGAGTGGTTGGCCATCCAGGTGGTGTCCTCCATAATTTCACCTGGCCCATGAAGTAAGGCATTAGGGTTAGTGGACCAATCATGAGAAACTACCCTCTGAAATAAACATTTAGTGAGTGTGTGTATGTGTGTACCAACCCAAATATGCTAACTGGAGGAAATCCCATGGCCTCCAGATCTGGAAATTACAAAGTACCTGGATTTCTACTAATTGACCAGAAAAGTAGCAATTCACAACTGTGGGTCAAAAGAATTGGTAACTTATGGTGAGGCTGCCACAAGTTGAGGTCATGAGATTATCTGAAGATATAGTGTCCTTTATAGACAAGTATGAAATCTGCATTGTCATTCTGCCCTATTCAAGCACAGTAAGTGGATCCCTGAAAAAAGATACATGTTTTTCTAAAATCTTTGTTATAACACTCAGAATTTTATTAAAATACCTTGTTCAAGGATCCCGCTGGTATCTTAAAAACTCTTCAAGGTATATTACATATAATAAATATTTTATTTCATACTGTATACAAATACCAAATCATCACATTGTACACTTGAAACTAATATAATGACATATATCAATTATACAACCAAAACAAAAAAGATTCAAAAGCTAACTGAAACACAGTTTGGGAAAAATGTATATAAAACAGTTGAACCCATATTTCCCTTTGGGTTGGGCCACCCTGTGAGGCACTGGGGTTGGGTAGAGTGGGTTACATAGCACAAGAAGCAGGGGGGGATCCTCACAACCAGCAGCCCCCTACCTATCCTAGGTGCACGATATTAGGAGCCCAAACTCTGAAACCGGACTATGCTTATGGGTCTAGTTTGTCTTCTAGATACTATTCCTCTGCCCATTCTACATAAAAAGAGGGTAACAATGTTTAATTGCAATAGTACTTAAGATTAAGTGAGGTAAAATAGTGAAAATGTTTAGAATATTAGGAGTAACGTGAATAAACAATGTATACTGCTAGTCCAGAAAGTTAATATTTACAGTAATAATTGTGTATAATCCATGTAGGATATGGTGGCTATGTCTGCTGATATAAGATACATTGTCTCAGTTCACCAGTTTAATCCCTATTTATATATTTCAGAATTTGGATTTGTTCATTTCTGTATTCCTAAGCAACTTAGGAGTGTGTGTTTGTATACATACATTATTATACATGTACTTTGTATATATACATATAATTATATTATACAAACATATAAAATTTAAATAAATGTTTAAATAAATATGAATACAGACTTAAACATATTTATCTTATTTAAAAGTGATTAAGCAGAGCCTTTATGTAGAAATCTTTCTCTTTTCTATTTAGTACACATTTTTTCAAGTTGAAATTAATCTTCTTAAAGCTTCTGCCATTTCTTCTAAATCTCAGGGGAGAATAAATAGGATTTAGAGTGTTACTGCCAAATTGTAAGACGAGGCTCTCATTTTTTCTCGAATGTTACCTCCTTTAACTCACACAGCAATTAATGTTTCATGGAAACGGAGACTCAGAGGCAGACTGCGCACCGCTGCCGACCGTCCCCTGACTGCGCACGCCCCGCCTCTGTGTTACAGACGCTGAAGATCAAACACAAGCTAAACTTGGTTGCACTTATGGAAGTTGCAGTCTATTTAGGGACAAATATATAAATGTGACATAGTGTGGAATTTTTAAATGCCTACAAAATAGATAAATAAATAAATAAATAAATAAATAAATAAATAAATAAATAAATAATGGATGCACATAACCTCTGGCCTTTCTTAAGAGAATCAATCAGTAATAGCTTCAGCTACCTTTTCTCTTACAAAGATAAAACATTTGCAGGTTTTCAATTTATGATATGACAAAAGTTAAATTTCAAAAGTCTTTACTAGCAGGAAGGAAATATTTGGCACTTCTTTATGGGAAGAATTTAGAGATAGCAATGATGAAGGGATATTTCAGAAGGAATTTCCAAATTTCAAATAAGTTTTATTTTCTTGTAATAATTCCAATATTCAGTTTACTAACATTCCCAGGTCTATGGTGCCAAAGCAGTAGAGAATACTGTAAGTGATTCTGATTTCTTAATATAAATATCTAACAAATCTGGGATACATTACACTAAAAAATTATAACCTTTCTGCGAACTCCCACCCTTATTAGTAGGTGGATTCTGAGCTCTGTGCATAATTTAAAAACAGAGATAAATTGCAAAACATACCTGCTGACCAAGTCTACACATGCAGCCAAAGTGAAGCACGGACCAGCTCAGTGTACAATCCGAGTGAACACCTTCAAACTGCTTGCAGAGTGAACAGAGGAAGACCAGGGAGGTGCGTGGCAGGTGCCAGCGAAACCTCCGCTATACTCTGGTAACTGGGGTAACTGTCATTGAGCCACAGTAAGCAGCCCACCTGGACCAACAGGCAAGTGAGGAACACACTGTATCAGGCATGGCAGCTGTTCCTCCCACATACTTGCTTACTTTCTGCTAATGTAAATCCTACAGTTTCATGTAAACAATTTAGTGCATGTTTAATTGGGAAATCACTGAGAGTTCTGGTACAATATCAAATGTTTATTTGAAGCAACTACTCAACTGTTTCACTACACTTCTTTCCCAAGAGCTTCTGTGAAGTACCTACTCCTAATTTTCTCCTTTTCCACATTAAAATATTCAGCATCTCAGGGTCTGCCTAACACCATGCAACTAAGCGGAGTTAAGAACTTTTGTCTCAGCCCAAGAGTTGAACCCAAAGGCTGTCACTCTGCCTCAGAATTCTTGGGGACACAGTCTTACCTCCACAGTAAACAACATTGGTGAATTCACACACTGTCCATTTCTTTAGGGTAACAGAAATATGGAGATTTTTTTAAGCATTTTCTAACCTTCAGAAATTGTCCCCACTCAAAGTAAAATCAGTACATCTGTTGTCAAATTTCAGTCTAAGGGGAGTAAAAAGCATCACCCAATAAAGGAGGAAGGATGTGTATTCTTTTGTCCAAAATACTCGGAAAAGGAAAGCCCATTTCCTAATATGTGGCTGTAAATACATGTTACATGAAGATATTAAGAAGAAAAGTACATTTGCCTTTCTTCTTAAAAACAGATGATAGGTAAAAATTTGAGGAAATATTTTTGGCAACTCGTAGAATGTATCAGAAGAGAAGAATAAGTCAAAACAATAATTACCCTTTGATCTCACAGTTCTTTCTATTTTTCTGGTTAACCCTCCATCAGATGATGTTGCTCATCTCACCCAGATGGGCTGAAGGAGCGTGTCCAGGTTAAGTGCACAAAGACAAGTAGGAGAGCGACATCATGCCTGGTTTTATTATGCCGACTGAGTGAATGGTTTTTCTTTCGGTAAATCCCCTCTGAGACCTAGAAAGAGGAATGCAATTAAGAGAGCTAAGGAAGCTCATGGATATACTACCCTTGCATTTTTTGTCTGATATCTTTAAAAGAAGTCCTTTTATTGTTAATCTCAATATGTATCAAAATCTTAACCTATAGTACCAATAATCACAAATCCCATCACTAATAAATTCTCACCTATGAAATATGAGTTAAATCCATAGAGCATTTTCATTTTACAAAATATACTTTTATGCATGTGTGACTATATATACAAAGATACATAAATATATAGAAATTTTCTCATTAAAGCTGAATGAAAATTTGTGACATACTGTTTTTTTCTTATTTCTCTTATCTTTCCCTGATATAAAAGCTGAAACTAATAGTTCTATTGGCTTGTCTAAAGGAATACCACTAGTTAGTACTATATTTGAAACTAAAAGTGATACCATCTCCCCATCTTTGTCTTGATCAGTGTTCATTACATTACTGATTACATACCTTCTGTTATTCACATAGACTCTATGTTAATTTAATGTTTCTTCTATTTATTTTTTCAACATTTTCAAATCCTTTTTATTTTAAAAATGTTTTCCAGTTTTAGTGAGAAACAGTGATATAAAACTTTACACAAGTTTAGTATGCATAGTGATTATTTGATATGAGTTTATATTGTAAAAATTTTACTATAGCAAGGTTAATGAATGTATCCTTCAACTGACATAATGTGCATTTTGTTTTCGTTGTTACAATGAGAACATTATAGCTCTCCTGTCCTTGGAACTTTAAGTATGCAATACAGTATTTTAAACTATAGTCACCACACTGGATATTTAAGTCTAAAGTGTAAACAAACCATAGCAAAATTATTAGCTGCAAAAAAGGCAGTACTCAGATGGATTTTTGTACTAAAGAAAGTCTCCATTCAGAAAGAAGAAAGATAATTTTACCCCACATAGAACTAGATAAAACAAAAACTAAGTCCAAACCTGGAAGAAAGGAACTAAAGTTCAGATCAGAATTTACTGAAACAGAGGCTTAAAAACATCAATGAAACGAAGAATATATTTATTAAAAAGATAAGCAAAATTGAGTATCCTTTAGCTAGGGTTAGTAAGAAAAAAGAGAGAAGACATGAATTAATAAAATAATGAGTGAAATAGGCATTACCACTAATACCACAAAATATGTAGGCTCATTAGTGACTACTGTGATAATTTAGGTGCCAACAAATTAGACAGCCTCAAAAAAAGGATAATTTATCATATACAAGATAAGCTCCTCAAAACATATGGGATGCCATGTCTAAGCCATGAAGTAATAGAAATCTGAATGCTCTGGTAGGAGGGATATTGAATCAGTAACCAGAAACACCCCACAAAGAAAGGCCAAGGATCATATTGTTTCATAGATTAATTCTCTCACTTAAAATATAATTAATGTCAATTATTCTCAAAGTCTTCTTTAAAACTGAAGATAAAACACTCCCAAAATTATTGCAAAAACAGAACTACCCTTGTAACAATGCCATAGTAGAATATTATAAGAGAAAAATGTATGCCAAAATGCCTGAATAATATAGATGCAAAAAATTCTCAGCAAGATAATAGCAACTGATTTCAACAACACATTAAAAGGATCATAGACAGTGATTAAATGAGATTTGTCTTTTCATTTCAAGGATA